AGCGTGACCCAATTACAGTCCTGTCCTTTTCACCTCGACACAACCACAAACATCGCCATCTTCCGACACGCAATCCGCACACTACGTAACTTACATGCCCTGCCCCAATTCCGTCTTTTCCTTTTCCTTTCTTTTCTTTTTTTCCTTATTACAAGAAAGCAAAAAGAAGAAAAGACCGCGTCTTATAGTGTCATTCTTTTCCACCCAAATGTTAAAGGTGAAAATTTTTACTGTAATTGAACGGTAACCAATATTTAACTCAACAAGTTATCTCTCATTAGAAAACAAAAATAGTGATAACAATCTTAAAATACGATCTAAATTCATATTTTAAATTATTCTGATTTTTCAATTCAATAACGTTAAAATAAAATGTTGCATTATATGACATATCTGTTACAAGTACTCTTTTTTTAATATGATATGTAAGAGTCAAAATTCGAACTCACGAGTTTTTTGTCGAAAACAAGTGTCTTTATATTCAGGTATTCCTAACTCAATAAAGTAGAATAAATTATAGAAACATGATACTAGCGATAAATCTCAATTGCGCTATTAAATTATTGGCAGGTTACATGATTTTAAATAAATTTTTCTTTGATTGTCGGTGTAAAACTATATGTTACTTGAACCAAGGCATCGAAATCTGTTTATTATATGGTATTTAAGTAGATAATTATCAAAGATATGATTATAATTTATAATTATGTTGTTATTATTATTTATTAATAAAAAATAGTGTCCAAGTAATGATTAACGATTTGATTTTTGTCAAAAACGTTACAATGTTTCCCACTGACACGTCGATTTCAGTCTCCCTCCTAAAGTCCATCTACGTGACATTGGTGGAAGCTATGCATAGGTACTTATATTTTACCTTTTTTCTTTTTTCCCTTTATAAAGAGTTTTTTTTTTATTTCCACTTATTTTTAATTTTGTCTTTTGTAATTTAAAATTTGCTAATTTTATAGAATATGTTAATACATATTGCACAAACTCGAGCTCATAAGGCATACTGTTTATACTAATTTGTACAATTTGTGAACTCGCAAATCGAAAATATAGGTTACACAAAAGTATGGATTAGTATAACACATTTCTGAGCAAAATTAACCTCACTACATCAAGCATTGAAAAACATAAACTCCATGTCATGCCATCTATCATCATTGTTATGAGTTCGTCGTAATTTTGTATGAATTTTTTAAAATCGAATTAAAAAATGTCGAACAAATAAAAAGTACCCACAAGAACAACAATCTCGTACAATAAATGTGGGTACAATGGATTGAAATTTCAATCTCTAGGAAATGAGAAAAATAACTTAGATCACCTCAATAAAATAATAATAAAAAAAGTAACTTAATTGCCAATCTTTTGAAATGCTAATAGAGGGTATTAATTAAAAATTTGAAAAGGAAAAATCTAGAAATATAACACAATTGGTCCTGCTACAAATCTCTATTCTTAGGTAAACAATTTAGAACCCTATATTCACATTTATAAATGGTAACATTATTATATATTATATAATTTGAGCATAGATTAAAGGATTGAAATCGTGGTTTAAATCCTAACTGCAGTACTAAAAAGTATATATATGTTATATTTAGAGAGTAAATAAATAAAATGGCAAAAGGGGAAAATGTGAAATGATGGGTTAGAAGAAGAAGTGCATGAGTGGGGGCTGAAATTGAATTGATTGCTTTGATTATATTGGCGTTTCGTCTAATCATCGTCTGAATCCTTCAACGGTGGGATTTGATTGATAATTTTCTGTCAACCGCCCGATCCCGATTTATATAATTTAATGGAAATTTCCAAACTCATGCATTTCTTTCTTCACCTGTCCAACTGCAACCGCACTTTAATATACAAAATTCAAAACTCTCTCTCTCTCTCTCTCTCTCTCTCTCTCCCTCTGTATATATATATATATATATGCACAAATATATAGTTTTTATTTCTCTAAAATCTTTATATTATAAACGTATTTTGATTACAGCCATTCTGTGTCAGTGAGGTATCTATTTTAATTACCTAATGGGTGTGACTGACATATTTTTTAATGCTCTACCTCTGTCACCTTGTCAAAAAAAAAAAAAGTACCAAATCAACGAAAAGGGATATTATATATGAAATTGGGATGTTTGAAAATGGTAACAAATTAGTAAAGTGGAAAAAAGAAAAAAAAAAAGAAAAAGAAAAAGAAAGAGGAGGAGCGAAACATGGGTGGGTTGACGAAGACGTGGCGAGTTGACTCAAAAGCCCTAATTAAGTCTGCTGACTAATTTTTGACATTGACACCACTCATAAATGGATACTATTATATTCCTATTAATTTTTCTTTTTCAAAATTTTGGTTGAGGTATTGACATTGGTTTGGCTAACGTTTATTTGATATTAGCACCAAATAGATTATATAGTAATCTTATAGCGACAGACCATATGGACACGGTCAAGGTTTGTGAGAGAATATATACTAGCATTAATAAGATGTTTCAAATTTTATTTGAGTTGTGTGTAAAAGTTTTAATTGCTCGGTAGATAACATATCTTGAGTAGTGATTCTACTTTGTGTGTTATTTATAGAAATGCAATGTAATGATGGTAACTACAATCGCACTAATGTACTATCATGCAAAGTATGAATATGTTGGTCATGTTATCTCTTGGCTTGACTAGAGATTCGCTCGATACTAGTCATGTCAAGTCGTCCATCACGAGTTTGAGATCTTGTAGATACATGTTTTTTAACCTATTTTGTCTAGGGTTTCAAGGTGTGTACCATGATGAGACTAGTGTAGTACTACAATACGTGGTGTTATTCGCCCTTCAGTGACATGCATATTGATCACTTCAAGTTTGACATGTTGTCACTCGTTGAATTGGTTAGCTAATGTTTGATAATACCATGTTGAGCTTCGTGCCCTATTGACCTCTCCTTTAATGCTCGTGCCCTATCCATTATAACTGTTATGGGAAGATAAAAAGAGAAGAGACCAAGCGACGGGAGGCCAAAAGGAACCCGAGAAGAAAGTACGAGCCAGGAAAGGGGGCCGGCACCCGGCGACCCGAGCCGGCCCCGGCTGAGAACTTTTACAGTCCATCCGACCGTTGCGCAGTTACACCCGTATTAACTCGCATTGATTCTCAATCTAACCTCAAACTTACAACGAAGTAACGGGCCTGGAGATTTAAGATTCGGCTAGGGCAAATCTGGAGAGGATTGGGATTGGACGACTATAAGTAAGAGATGAACCAAACCCCAAAAGGTACGCCTCAACTTCCTATTCTCTACACTCGACTTTTGATACTAACTTAAGCATCGGAGTCCGTGTGGTAAAGCCACAGCGGTCCTAGCTTCAATCTGTTTTGTAGGTCACGTTGATCCATCGATCCTTTTTTGTATTTAGAGGATTGATGCATATTTGGCGAGATCAAATCTATGCATCAACGGTAACCATTTCATTTTCATTTTTATTCTGTAGAGAGAAGATATGGTTGAGGTGGGTAAAAAGAGACATATGGAATGGTAAATTCTACAAGGGTAGATAAGGCATGAGAGAAGTTGTGAAAGGGATAAGTTGTCCGTTGTGGGTTTTTGGTCATTCTTCCAAAGTCAGTCAGGAAGGTGAGGTCATCAGCCGGTTCAAAAAGAACATCTTCTGGTTTTAACTAAAGCATTCACTTTGCCCTCTTTTTCCTTCTCATTTTTTTCACCTTTTCATCGTCTTTTCTTTTTTATCCTACCTTTTACCCCTAAATTACCCCCACCCAACCAAAAAGGTGCCCCCCAAAAATGAAAAAAAAAAGACATATATACTAAAAAAATGTAAAAGATCAGTTATGCATTATAGCTTTAATGAACTATTGGGTTAATCAAATTTAGTTGTTAGGGTAGTCCTTTATTTATTCTAAATTTCTTACCACATACTCTAACTACCCTCTCTTCTCTTCATTCTACAAAGGGTATCTAATAAATGTATAAAGTTTCAGTTATGTCTAAATTCATCTCTAGATACTATTAAACATAAAATTTAATTTTGAGTCAATAAATTTTATGAAATATTAAATACTTCAAAAATTTAAAATTAAAAACTTATTCAACGCTTTTTAAAAGTAGAATCTATTGAATACAACTTTAAAAATCTAAATAAATATTGTTAGGGGTAAAATCCCATATTCCACGTGGTCACCCTAGGAGAGCCGTGAGCCTTGCCCGATCACAAGTGGGCAAGAAGTGTGCACATCTGGCCAATGGGCATAAGAAACCCGTGTCAAAGATAGAGGATAATCCCATGCCATCGAACGAGATTTGAGGACTCTTTAGTCGATGGAACGACCTAAATACGAAAAAATACGCCATCAGGTAGCTTCCACCCATAAAAGGATAATGAAAACTATTCTATAGGGTGCTGTGACTTCTAGCGCACAATTCGCTTGCTCTCCTACCTATTTTACTCCGACCCAAACATTAATTTCAACATTAGGAGTATTAGGATGAGCACACACTAGTGTGGAGAGGTAACCTCTATAGTGAGAGTATCCAAGTCATCGTCAACTCAATCAAAATTCGACATTATCAAGTATTAAAAGGGAAAAAAAAAAGGAAGTCGAAAGAGTGGAGTTTCGGAAGATTTGAATAGTGGAGACGCGTACGGGCTACGGCAAAGCCAACCCACTACCCAAGTGGAGCGGCGAGAGGGTGATGTAGAGAACGTGTTCACGTGAATCGCCGAGTTTCAGTGACTCCCGCTGCATGCCCATTGCCCATGCCCCCACCCACTCAAATTTGGACGGACAAGATCTCCTTGCTTACGTCATCAGACGGCGCCTTCGAGG